AGACACAAGACCAGGGTGTTTTTGGGAGATTCTTTCAAGCGATGGCATACACTGAAATCACAGGTCAGGCTTCCCACTGATACCTTGATTTCAAAGTTTCTACTCGACAGGTAAAGTTTGGCATGCCATTTGGAGAAATCCATTTCACATCACTACTGGTAAATGTTATCTACCTCTATATTGTAACTTTCGAGTGAAGGTAAGATTTATTTAGTAATTTGCATCGTTAGTACAGTAGTTATACGGTGGCCACAGATCCTTATTTACCCTGCAAACATGTCCAAATTTCCACTGCAGCAGACACACACATACAAGCAGGTCATGATTTTTTTTTTATGCACCAGTAGTCTTTTTTGCAGGCAAACTTTTTATATATAAATATTGGCATCCGATCGATCTGTCATTGCGTCCCTGCACCTGCTCGAGGAGAACTTGTCTTGTGCATGCTCTCTCAGGCATTTAATAGGCATATTTTTTGCTACGCTTAGATTTTTTTCACTCTTATCAAAGACCTTGTGACTCCTCCATTTACATGTTTTTCGGGGTTGCTTTGTTGCCAGAAGTCTGTTAAAATAATTAGGAATTTGCCAGCACAAACATTTGGACAAACCCCAATATCCGATATTAACATTGTTGTTATATGCCATAATCAATATTACAAACATATTGTAATTGTATTTCATTACCCTTTAGAAATCTTGAATACTGTGAAATCCAAACCTGTGAGACTCAAGCTCAGCATACATTGTACGATTTTTGGCTCTTTTCAGGCCGATTCTCCGGTCGTGCAAGAATTTTTAGATCGGGCCGAATTTCGGCATTATCGTGCGTCATGTAGTATACAGGGGGTAACGAGGGGGGAGGGGGTGAGAGGCAACCACCTCCTGATCAGGAATCAAAAGTTTGGGAGAAAATTTATGAGGTTTGAAATTCAGTCGGCTGTCCTAAGGTGTTCATAGACAAATCCTGCTGTCTGCGAGCCAATTTACCAATACATCGAGCACTGTGCATGTGCAAACAAGGGAGTTCTTCTTCTTCCAGATTGACGAATCTGACCAGCGCCATCTCTCTGTGCTCAGTGGTTTTGGACATGCAGTGTGAGCAGGTAGACGCATCAGAGCGTCGAATCACACAGTGTGAGAGCATACATCTTGAGCTGTAAACTTTAAACTCTGCAATTTTGTCGTGCAGTTTGAGCTGTGGCTGCGTGCAACAATTGAAAATATCGCACAGTGTATGCTCGGCTTTAGAAACCAACTTTCATACTTTAAATGGTTCAGTCCAACTTGGTTTTCATGCTATAAAGTCTGAGCAAACTTTAGGGGATCCTTTTATGTTAACTAAAATTAATATGTAAAGAAATTAAAATCTTTCAAACTAGCCTTTCTTCATTATTAGTAGTTGAACCACATATTAAGTAAACATATATGATTTAACATTCTGCCAACCATTGCCCTTCAGACAGGGCTGGTCCAAACCTATGTTAGGCCTGCAGCAGACTTAGATCCGGGGAAATCTAGGAGAGGGTGCCAAGTTGAATTGGCTAGGCACAAAGTTATATCACAGGTATCTGGTTATTATTTGCTGAGATCTACAGTTGAAAATAATCCAAAACAAAGATTTTGAAGCTACAATTATCTGAGCTACACAAGAGAACCACTATAGTGACACAGCAAGTGAAGGACAGTGAGAGGGTTTAGCTTAAATGAATAAGCATCAGTGGAGAGAAACAATACCAGCAACAGCAGGCTGGCAGGCCACACAGCTCCTAATTCATACAGTCCCACTGCTTCTTTCTGAGGAAAGAACAAGCGGCTTTATTGTTGGGGAACAAGCTGTCTTCACAGAAACCCCAGCACAGTGCAAGGTCCAATGCTGCCTGGATTAAACACCAAAAACAGTTTCATCACCATTGACTGAAAGCTTGGACTAATGACTTAGTTTTATCTTAAAACAAAGATTAACTTCTGTCCTTAAGGATTCATAACATCTGAACATTTTCATGTACCAAGAAATGCAAAGTTTTACCATTTTTATTGATAATGTCATGTGACAGGCCAACGCATAGTAGCTTATACCTGTGAAGGGGGAAATAAAAGTGCTTCATGCTTTTTTAATACTTTTTACAAGTGAAAAGTGTTGGATTCACTCGTTATCAGGAGCATATCCTTTGCAGAATCAATCTCTGCTGGGGTTACAGCTGTCTTCTGGAAAAATACCCTAAACGTTCATTCAGTATGACTTGTTTGTCAGTTTTTCTTCTAAAAAAATGGTTCAAGATCAGCTAAGTTGGGTGGAGTATGTTAAATAAACAGCTAAATAAATAATGGAACTCCATTGATCTCACATTGGAGAAATTCAAATCTGCATTTAACCCATTCCCTTGGGGAGCAGTGGGCTGCCACTGTGCAGCACCTGGGGAGCAGTGTGGGGTTAAGGGTGTTGCTCAGGGTGCCAGAGCAGAAGTCTGTGGGAGTTGAACTCAGAACCTCCGGGACCCAAGCGCAATGCTCTAACCAGTAGGCCGTCACTCCCCCCTTAAGTTTTGTTATAGATTCCTATTTTGATGAAAGGAAAGAAGAGAGTCACCAGGTGTGCAGAGAGATGCAGCATAAGGTAGCTATTGTCAAAGAGAGGACATATAGTGAATTGTATGATAGGTTAGACAGGTAGGAGAAGAGGACTTATACAGACAGAGAGATACAGATGAGATGGGAATGTGCTGACAGGTGCAACACGTGATAGGGAGATGGAAGGAGTCCTTTGAAAACCAGATGAATGAGGAAAATAAAAAAAAACTGAAGAAGTGATCATGGTCCATCATGAAGTGCAAAAATTAATAAGGATGAAATAAGAAAGAATTTTGAGGAGGATAAAGATTTAAAAGGTAGTCTGCCCCAATGACAGGATTAGGAGATATGAAACTGTCTAGAAGAGACAGAGAAGAGATTGGTTAGGGCATAGAGCTTGGAATCCTGAGGTTCTGAGTTCAAACCCCACTCCCACAGACTGCCACTCTGGGTCCCTGAGCAAAAGAAGCAGCACAATGTTAAATGCAGAGAGTATATTTCGTTGCTCTGTACTTGTGAAACAAGTAGTTACACTGAGCTATCGGAGCTCATCAAAGCAGCTCGGGTGTTTGATGAATAGAAAGTAAAACTAACTAAGTTAGTCTGACAATATTTTTTATTCTGAATGTTGCTCCCAATTTATCCAGTTTGAATGTGATTATGAAGGAGTTACTCAGAGGAGCTCCAGTTTTACAAATACAGGTTTATAATAGGATTGTATTTAGTATTTATTTTGATTCCTTACTAACGTCCAGGGAACATATGTTTTTGAGATGGAAAACAAATGGCCTAATAATTAAGTATTCAAATGAAAAGATTAAGTAAAATAGTTTCGATTTTAAAATCAGTTATTGTCCATTCTACTATTGGATAATCATCAATATTTTTGACTGAGAGGGGTACTCATGGTAAGGGATACACAAGTCAAAAAAGGTTGAGACACACTGTTTTATATGATCAGCAAGAAGGAAAAAAGGAGCACAGACAGTGGCAGACCAGCAATGTTTTTTGGTTTAGACACAGTGGCACTGAGGAAGAGGCAGGAAACAGAGTTGAAGAAGTAGAGATGAAGATGTTGGGGTTCTCTTTAGGAGTACCAAGAATGGATAGAAACAGGAATGAGTAATATCAGAAGTTTAGTTCATGTGAGATGAGACATACAAAGGATATATAGTGAATACACTGATAGAAGGTTGTTAAGGCTGAACATCCCAATCAGAAGGGCCTAGAGGATGACCAAGGAGAAGATTTATGGATGACATAAAAGAGGAAATGAAGATAGTTTGTGTGACAGAAAAATATACACAGAAAATGGGTGTAGATGAAGAACATAACTGCTGTGGGAATCACTAAAAGGGAAAAAGCCATAAGACAAGGAAGAGAAAACATAATTAACTGAATACTTAGATCCGTTGTACAGAGCTTCAGATCTCTATGTAAAACAGCATAAAGTGCTCTTATTTTATTCAATTCAACTCAATTATTTATTGATCCAACAGGGCAATTAACTATTGGTGTAACTCGTTTGGCAATAGTGCAAAACAAAGGGGTCGCTATCTGCTATGTGACTTCAGCATTGCTCACACTGGATGGGTCATGGTAATATCATACCAGATGAATCACTTTGTAGTCTCTGACCGGATCTGACTTTATTAGACTGTCACTGATATTATATGAGCTAAAGAGTTACATAATCTGAACAGTGTTCCCATCAAACAGAGAGAAAAGTTCAAATCTCCCAGTGCAGTGAAGTATCCCCAGCAGCGTGTTTACACAAGTAGGAGTTCCAAGATAAGACTGAAATTATGTGAGCTCTTCCTGTCTCAGAAGGTCATGCCCAAACAGAGCTGAGATTCTGAACATGGGATGGATTCAGATTCTTGTTTCCAAGAATTCTAGAGTCTGTAGCTGCAAGTGCATGTTTGCAGCTTTTGGAAAGATCCATCACACAGCCTATATGGACACAGAATATTTGATTAACTTTTATAACTAAAGCTGGAACACAAACTGCATTGATGGAATATTTCCGCCTGTGCTCCCCAGGATTGCATATGAAGATGGTCTATATTGCAGAGGGAAAAGCTGTCCTCCAGCCATCAAGCCTTGTTAGCAGGTTTGGACTTGCCTATGAAACGCCCCATTCCTGTAAACAGTGCTGCGTTAACAAGCCCTTTAGGTGTACTGGTGTATAAAAATAAAAATCCCAAGCTTTCCCAATCAGACATAAGGAAAACATACAAGGGCCATTCCAATCCATAAAATGATTCACACATCATATAACTCAGAGGAGAGATCACGGGGAATTTATACTGAGAGATTTTGATAAACTATAAGGAAGTGAATAAAGGAGAATCAACTACACAATTCCCGTAAAACAAAAACAAAGCGGATCAGAGCGGCCAGTTCAAATTGTTCCCATTTTTAACCCACCTGCAGCCTTTGCGTGCGAGCTGTCCAGGCTATGCTGCTTCCTGCGAATAGCGACTCTGTTGAAGCTCATTTTTCTCTCCTTTATGTCCCGCTCAATCATTCAGACATGGGAAGTCGAAGGAAAAACGAACAAAGTATTTTATTCCCCAGAAAGGCGCTCCCCTCTTAGCAGCAATCCAAACCGTGCGAAACCGGAACCATGTGCGTCTCCGTCTCTGCTGTGCGTCCCGATACAAGAGCGGTTCCAGGAGCTCAGTAAGTAGTGTTTACAGTCTGAGACGGGTCAGACTGATCCTTGGTCCACCTCCAAAGTCACCTTGATGGGGGTGTCGCTCTGAGCCCCGCCCCTCTGTCTCATCAGCTGGCTGCTGCTGCTCCTGGCGCAACATTATTAGGTTATACTAGGTCCCTTCTTTTAAGGTGAGTACAGGCTTATATATTAAACTGCAAAGAAAAGTTATGCGGCTGTTTGTGAATTTATTATAATCACAAAGATTATTGTGTTTTTAAGGCATTTTATGTTACTTACCAAAGCAAAGTAGTGCGTAAAAGTAGAAAGAGCCGTAATTTTCATTTTAATTTAACAGCTCAGTTCAAAATTATGTTTGACTTTCTTTTGTTTTTAGTTATTTTTCCTAAATAATTTCCACTGCAATCAACCTTCTGAAATCACTTATTAAATAGAGGCTAATTGGATAGGTTTCTAATCAAGGTTATAAAACAATCTTCCAAGCTAATCATTACACAGAGTTTTATTTAAAGTGTCATAAACAGGTGGGCCAGGCAAAATGAGTTGCACTGGACCTCAAGGACCAGAGTTGAGGAACCTTGGGTTAGATCAAATCAAATTCATGTTAAAGGCCTAGTTGAAGGCCAAAGCTGAGTGCTTTCCTCCCTTTTTTTCCATTTCAGTGTTTTAATTTATTTTGCTTTGGCAAATGGACAAAAGGATTTGTATAAAATGGTGCCGTGTTTGATTACTTTTAATCATTAGCTGTTTTTAAGTGCAAAAAGAAATGCAGAAACAAAGGACAAATCTTTTATTTGTTTGTGTAACCAATTAAACACTGTTTCAAACGGTGGAGAAACTGTAAAACCCACCATATTCCAGCATACTGCAAGCATTCTTGTCAAAACCACAGGTTGGCCTCCTCTCTCCGTCCATAGATGTTGTGCAAACAAACCAGGTAAGGTTAATGAACCAGCATGGATTCAGCTGCTACCTCAGAGCCACAAATGTTCTCATCACTCCATAGTTGCAAAAGTAGCAATCTATAGTATTAAAACAAGTGAGCACACCCACTGAGCAGGACATCCACTCAATGATGTCCTTATAACCACTAATACTGGCTAAGAAGGTTAAGGTTTTAAAACCAGGAGGCAAAACAATCAGTGCAGCCAGGAGATCTTAAACATAAGAGCTAATATGAGGCTGTTGAAAAGATGTTGAAAATTTAGTTACAAATGTTTTTTCAGTTTCAATATTTTCTTCCTTTAAAAAAAAAGGACAATATTTTCAATTTTAGCACATAAAATTGTCCCTTTTCCACCTGGAACACTGGCTTTACCCTTTTTTTTTAACCTTTTCAGACAGACACAGTTGTAACTGAATACAAATCTCCCTCAGATCTGTCTGTGGCCAATGCTGCTGTATTGCTCTAATGCATAGTGCAGAATTGTGCTTGTACTGTACTGCATTCTGTTTGGGGAAAGCTAAGGGACACAGCGATACAGGGATCGGCTGGAAAAACAAATAAGTAAAGCTGCAATGTTGTTGCTCCCTGTGTCATGATGAAGAAAAGGATTGTTACCGTGGCTGTTTACTACAACAACAAGAAATACTTGGTGAAGACAATACAATGTGTGCATAACAGTGACCTTAGCACAAGATAAGGAGTTTTCTGTACTTTTAGTAGTTTCCCTTCAAACCTTTTCAGGACAGGAAGAAACAGGGGAAAAGCCCCATATATTTGACTCATTTTCTGAGGGCTGAACAACAAACATCACAAGGATCGGTTGTAAAAAAAAAAAACATTGCATAATAAATTAACGGTAAGGGGTATAAAAAATCTTAATGTATCTAATAACTAGTGCGTTCAAATAATTCAGAAATAAGCGTCACAAGAAAAATCCGGGAAAGACAAATAGTTGAAATCAACCCTCAAAAAACACAACCTTTTTCCCTTTCATTAGTTTGCTTGAACTGCCATCTAAGGGCTACTTTATTAAAAAACAGGATTTTTTTTTCTGGTTTGATATACTCACAAAAAAAGGCTATACGGTATTATTAGGTGAGTGTTTTTTCTTCTTAAAAAAAGCATATGATCAAATATTTTTGTTTTATTTTTGCTGAAAGAGAGCAGAACTGACTGTGACTGTAAATCTGCTAAAGCTCGTCATTTCTCCACAGCAGGATTACATTTTTATAAAAAAATATCAGACAAAAGAAAATTAGAAAACATACAAGCAATAATAAATTCCATAAATAAATAAATAAGAAATAAAGTCCATAAATTATTATTAGTGGGAACTAACAGAAAGATTCCAGTTCTGTATTACAGGTATTTCAGCCTCTGCCCTGTCCTTGGTTTACTGATTCCTCTGCAGGAAGTCGTTTCCATATGACAGAAGCACGCCTTGCTTCTCTTCTGCGACCCAGGTAGCCAGGGTGTCAGCCAGAACCGGACCATGACACGCATGGGAGATAACAGAGTCCAGTAAGTGTTGGACTGCTGGGCTTAGGGAAGAGAAGACCCCCCTCTCTCATCCAGGGTGTCTCTGCCTCTGCATGGCTCCTTCCAGACCAGGACCAGGGGTCTGGGCAGGGGCAGCGGGGTTAGGAGCCGGGAGGGTGGGGCTGATGGGCCAGGCAGCTACGTGGGTCGCATGGGGAGAGAAGGCTGCGACTGCTGGATAGGACTGCTTGGTATTCCTCGAGGTCTTCCAAAAATTTACGACTGCAAAAGACACAAACATGGTGAACAAAAAGAGTAAGTGGGAACAAGTTTCACTCTGCAGAGGAAGAAAGGAAAATACTGCTGAAGAGAATAAAAAAATGCAACACCTGGCATATTTCAAAAAGAACGAAAAAAAAAGAACGAGGTTACTTAGGAAAAAAGCTTAAACCACTTGGCGGGGAAAAACATTCAGCTTTCCTGTAAAAAGTTATTTTTGTTTGCAAAAAATAAAGTAGTTGACAGCAGCTAGGTTTGTTGAGCACAAAGACGGGAAAAAGTGCAAACTGAAACATTTCAGTGATTAAAATAAACCAAACCTGAAGTGCAGATCCTGATCATAGAAACCTGGAAAATGAAAGAAATCCTGTCCTGTTTCAGGTTTTACATTCATAACCTTTGTTAGAGGCTGTAGAGGACCTGAGAGTCAGCTGGAGGTCCACTTTGCAGCAAAACCACCCTAAAGATAAATCACCAATCACCCACAGCTGATGCTATATTAAAAGGTGGTTTTACAAAGCATTAATTTAGGTATATACCTCTCACATCACACTTTTCAGGTTTTTATCAACAAGAGTAAAAAAAAAAAAAACTAACATCATTTGTCTTCAATTAAAAATTATTGCACTACTTTGGGGTTTTGCTATTACAAACATTCCCAGTGCCATTAATCAAACCTTTTGGTTGTAATGTGACAACAAGCAGTTTAAGATGTATGAATACTTGTGGAACTCAATGAGATTTTCCAGGTGTTTCCCTGCAAAAGTTGAATGAAGTCAGTCTGGGCAGCAAGTCATACAGACTGCAGCTAAAAACTTATTAGAGGAAAAAAATTAAAGAAAGGAAAGCCTTGCTAAGTGAGGAGAAGCAGCAAAACATTGTATTTTCCTGAAGTCAAATGTTTTCTTTTAACAAAATAAAAGACATAAAAAGCTGATTCAAACATTGAGACTAAGCATATGGAGATATAAATTATATTTAAAAGCATGGCTCAAAAGAAAGACAAAAACAAAATGGATCAAAGAAAAAAAAAAAGGAAGACCTGAACTGCCTGCTGTTGCGTTAAACACACATCCAATATCTCTACTTAGATAAGGAGGAAAACCTTCAAAATTAGGTTGGATGAAGCATCTTCCACCATCACAAATCAGTAAATTTAGTTATTGAACAATTTCAAAATTTGCTTCTATGCCACTGAGACTCAACACTGAAAGTAAACGTGGACTGTTGAGTCAAAGCTGAAGGTCAAATAAATAAGCATCTCAAGAGCACTGCCATGCAAAATTGTACATGCAAAGTGATCACATCCTCAACCTATAATGAAAAATAAGCACTTTAAACGCATTACGATGCTATTTTTTTTTATTCATCAAGTACCATGTGAAAAAAAGTGTGAAAATCAAGAACATGCAGGACCAATCATCTAAATGCCAGCAGGTTCTCTAGCTTGTTACCTGCGGGCTAGGGAGGCTCTCCCTCGCCTTAGTTGTGGGGAGAATGTCGGTACTGAGGCAGAAGGCTGCTGACAATCTACAAAAAAACTGATAAATTAGACAGATGTACAGTGTGGTGACACTCGAGGTTAGAGAACAGGACAGCAAAAGCAAAACAAGAACATTTCCACATTCAAAGGGATTGAACACACCCATGGTGCTATTCACAGATGCATGGGGCTGATTTCACTCTTTGAACGATTGTTATACTGAAGGTGCATATCAGCTGGATGCCAGAATAAGGTTAAATGAGAAAATAGACACAGATTCTTCTGCTCACAAAGATTGGACTCAGTTATTCTGGACCACTGGGGTCCAAAAAGAGCCAAAAACACAGTTATATATTATACTTTGTTATACTATGCTGCTTTGAAATAAAACACAGATAAGTCAACACTGCCATCTAATGGTATAAGGTTGGGTCTGGAAGTAATGATTGAATAGCTTTGAGCAGTTTTTCAGGAGTGTAAAACATAACTACATTTCTGCTTAAAAAAAAACAGCAGATGAGCTCTGTAATACATGTTGGTTATAATCAACATTGACATTTGATTAGAATAATCTTAGATGTTAGTTCCAGAACCTTCCACAAAGAGGCGCTGCGAGTTATGAAACAAGCTGATTCTGCAGCCATTTTTGTTGTTGTCATTTGAAAACATTCTCACTGGTAGAGCTTAATACAAAACCTCTAATAAAAAAAGCACCTGTGAACTTTTTCATATTGTTGCATTACAACCTTATACCTCAACAAAGCAGCGCTTAATTGAGAAGCAGAAAGAAATGTGTGTTGGTCTTTAGTTTTTTTTTTTAAACCATTATAATTAAACTATTTATCAGTTCATATTTAGGCCTCATGATGCAATACTTTGCAGAACCACATTAACTCTTAAAGAATGTTACTTTTATGCAACAAAATTTGAAATATTTCCAGGTAATAAATGCTTTTCTCCAAACTGATTTCAGTTAATCTGTTTCTACTGTTTGCAGCATCTGTTGTAACTGATGCTAATGAAGAAAATCCTAGTGAGGCATATTGTAATCAGCTCATGCCTGGCCTGACATTAACATTAGAATCTGTAGGTCTCATAGAGATTATGTACATGACTTACTTTTGGGGGACTGCTTTTTATCTTGGGTACTTTAGCTCCACGGCCACGGTGAATCTGCTCGTGGTCAAATTCCAGGTCCTCCAGCCGCTGCGTCAAGGCCAGTTTCTGCTGGATGGCCATTCGGAGGAGAGAGTTCAACGTTTTCTTCTCGTCCTCTGCTGCAGCAAGCTGCCTCTGCATCTCATCCAACTGGGTGACATATTCATCACATCTGCAGGGACACAAAAGTTTTAGATATTTGTTCCACTTGAGGTCAATTAAAGCAAGTTTTCTCTTAGATCCAGAGGAGTTTCACTTTGACAGAGTCTCTCACCTGGTGGCAAACATGGCCCTGAGAGAGGAGAAGGTGGCAGCATCTTCCTTTAGAGCTTTCAGCTCGTTCCTCAGTTTCATCATGGTCTCTGTCACCATCGCCTTTTCATTCTCATACTTGCTCTTTAAGTTTGCCAGAGCATTTTCTGCTGTCTGCATAAAGCAAAATTTGCCTGGTTTGAAGAATTTTCAGTAGAAAAATTATTCAACACCTTCTCTACCATTAACAAAAAAAGTTTTTCACCTGTTTATTTGCTTTGAGGACCAGTCGCAGTGTGGCTATCTGTTCCCTCTTGGTACTGAGGAGGGACTTGAGCTTCAGGATCTCCTCCATGCAGGACTCCTTGTCCTTGTCGAGCATTGTTGCCAGCTCTCTGGCTGCAGCTCTTTGCCTGGAGAGCTGCAGTGAACGGTCAACGGCCCTCTGGAGATGTTTGATCTGGTCTCGAATGATGGCATTCAGGTTGTAAATATTCATGGGCTCCTTCCGCAGGTCCCCGCCTGTGTCTGAGGGCCCTGGTGACGTGCACCTGGATATGCTGATGGATGGAGAGCCGGTGATATTGTGGATGGGGCTGCTATTACAAGATGAAGAGTCCACTGAGTTGCTCTGGGTGTTACTGTGGTTGGCGTCTTTGGATGGCGAGTCCATTGGACTGCGGAGGGAATCGGATGGGCAGGCTGCAGACACTGCAGCAAGCCGTCGCGCCAGGCGAGGAGAGAGCAAAGCCCTGTGGTCCTCTGAGCCTTTGAGGCTGCCGCTGCGTGTGCTGCGGCTCTGCCGGTAATAGTCCAGCATTACACGGTTTGGTGTCTCGTTGTTGCAGAGGCAGACGTGGTGGTAGAGCTGCGCCAGTTCCTCACTAAAGGTTACGAGCTCATCCTGCGCTGCATTCAGCATGCTCTGGCTCTCTGTTGCAGTGTTTGCTGAGGCCCGAAGTTCTGCCTCTAGGCTTGCAACCCTCTCCCGGCTCTCACGGAAGCTCCGCTCCAAATGTGAAATCTGATTTGAAAAACTCAGTTAGATTAGATACAATTCAATAGGTGGTATGTAACAGTAGATTAATAATATTACAGCCTGTTATATACATTATAAAAGTCTTTTATTACAAAGACAGACATTAGTGTTTTTCCTTTGGTTTTGTTCACTTAATTTGTATAATTAAGTGAAAGAGATGGTTTTCAAATAGGATTAAGAAAAATAAGGTATTCACCCCCCTTTTACTCTAATACACATGAATGAAATGTATGTGTATCAGAGTTTGCAGCCTAAGCTGCATATGCAGCCTATTAGAGGTCACTTAATTAACGAACAGCTGTGTTTAATTCAGTTTTAGCATAGATTATATTCCCAGGCTTCAAACAGATTAACACATAATCTAAACATGAAAGAGGATCGACCGATTGCACACAGAACTAGAAAAGGAGGCTAGCAAAGGAGAGCATTTATTGGAGAAGTAGTCAATAGGATCGAGGTAGGAGGAGCTGCAGAGATCCGCAGCTCAGGTGGGCGAATACATTGTAAAGACGACCATTAGTCATTGATTGAATAGATCCAGGGTCTCATTTAGAAAGCTTGCATATAGAAAAAAAGCAGGGCCTGAAACTTTTGTACGCTGACTGCCAAAGGTTGTGATTTATACAATTAAGCTTGGCTTGAAAGTAAGTGGTACTTCACACAAACCCATCTGTACAGGTGATAGGGCTGGTCAATAAATTGCATTTGCAATTTGCAATAATCGCAATTTAACAAAACACAATTTTCAAATTACAAAAGTACTCAATATTAATCACTCTATATTTAACAAGAGTAAGACTTAAAATTTCTCACTCCAGCCCTTTAGGTGGTGGTAAAACACTTGAAGTGTGTTTTTGCCGCAACACAGAAAGGTAGATAGCTTTGCTGCTAGCATGCAGGTCCATGCACGCAGTAGAAGTAAGAACTTTTTCACATAAAGACTACAGTAAATTTCTACAATAATGGACCCTGGGCAAGCAAGCTTTCAAAAATCGTAATGAAAGTAAAAAAAAACTCTACAAGTTTGGGGTTAGGGCAAAGGAAAATCGAAATAAAATTGCAATTGTAATTTTGGTTAAAAATAATCTCAATTTTGATTTTTGGCAAAATTGGTCAGCCCTAACAGGTACTCATATTTTGTCCGGAGTAGGAAATTAACAACAGAGATGGTTGCTAAGTGGGAACTCACTCACCTAGATTGCATCATAATTACTCTCAGACATTCAATTAAAACTTTGAAGAAAACTAATCATAGATAGACTTCACCAGATCGAAAAACGCAGCAGTAGGATATAAAAGCTGGCACTACTGAACCAATATGCCACACAAACAAAATAAGGTTAATTAGCAACTTAAATTATAAATTAAAGTCTGGACGCTTTCAAATGTTTCCTCTCTATTACCATCACCAGTTGTACTACTGACCAGAATATTCAATGTAATGAGGTGTGAAAAATTCACACGAACTGCTGAAAACATTTAAATACGGCCCAACTATCCATGTGTAATGGAGAATTTTAAATGGGAGAGTCAGGAGTGAATGAGTTTCAGGGATCCACCAGACCAAGGCAATCCCTCTTTATCTGGAGCAGATCACTTTGCATAACTTAGATTTAGGAAAAAGGGAATGGAGCTTGGTGCACAGTTCTAAAGACGCACAAATAAATATAAATAAACAATCTGTGGTACATATAGAATTTCAAACATATTTATTATTTATAGGTATAAAAATATTAGATGTTTAATATGGGAGGAAATCTGAGGAAGCTTCATGTTGAACCCACTTTATTAAAGATCCAATACAAAAAAAAAAAGATTTAGAAACATCTAAATAAAGTGAGCTGATGTAACCAAAACATTAAATTTTTATCTGTATTACATTTATAGACCCTGCTTTTCAGGGTATTTTTTATTTGTATTTTTATTATTTACAGCTGTTAAACAATCAAAAATGTATTGACTATCTGCCTGAAGCCACTTTGAGGAAAAAAATATTTAAGTGCAATAAGCCATAAAAAAATAAATGCATAAATAAAAAAAAAAGACTTTGAATTCAGTAATAAACTAATTGCTGCCTGAATTTCCTTTATTATTATGATAATTTGATTAGACTCTAAAGATGCCATTAATAATACTTCCTTTAATTTACTGTTGCTCCCGAATATATTTATCTGACTAACACCTCTCACTAACACCGTTTTTTTCCCACCTCTCTTGCCAGTGGTTGCCATAGGTAACAATTAAAGAACATTGATTAGCTGGCTCCTATAATTACACAATGACATTCATGCAGCATCTTGCTTTTAGCATATATATGGGGTTATCATGAGGTTAAGCTAAAGTATGAGGTACAGCTGTCATTTATATAAGGAAACTGCTTTTATTTGTGCATGCACATGGTATTATAAAATTTTTTTTTGGCATACTCCATTTTATTGGCTATTGGCTTACGCACATTTTAATATGGACTCCAAGCAATGTTTTACTAATGAGAACCGTGATCTTTACATGAGAGTGTCAGTAGGAGACCATGAAAGAACGCAATAAGAGGACCTGTTCAAACATTATTGCAGCATCATGCTGTGGGAATCCTTTAACAGAAATAAGATGGAGCTGAATCAGAGGGGACGCCTGTAAGACACTGCAGACCTGAGATTGTGGTGAAGGTTCACCTTCTAGCAGAGCAGAGTTTAAACATTAATAAGGTCTGAGTTTGAATTCCTTTTAAAGAATCAGCTAAGTTTTTAGTCTTTATCATTAAGGTAAGAGAAGATCATCTACAGGATTGACTGAAAAAAATGCTTGATCCACAAAACAAGTTAAAAATCCAATTATGCAATGCTTTGTGTTTATCACATAAAGCCTCAATGACATAAACAGAAGTTTATGTCATTAAAATTGTTAAAATATTATTTTGTGACACTCTGTAATCCAGATGAACCAAGAACCTACCTGTTCGGTCAGTGCCTGGACTCTGTCATCATTGTGACAGTCTCCCTGCCCCTCCACAGCCTGGTTGTACTTCTCCTTCAAAGCCTTCAGCTCTGCTTTCAAGTCGATCACCTCCGTCACGGCCACCTTGTATTTACACTCCAGAATCTCAAACCCGTGGATATCAGGATCATGGTGGCTGTTGGAGGATGGGGACGGGGAGCCTCCATCAGGTTTCTCACTCTCTTGCGGGTCTTCAAGCTCCTTGTCTGCATTCAGATGTTTTAAGGCATTGACGTGCTCAGTGAGGCGATGGACGCGCTCGTTCTGCTCAGTCAGGACACCCTGAGTGTGCTGCAACTGGGTCTGTGACTCCTGCAGGTTCATGAGCAGAGCTGCCTTCTCACGCTCCACCTGCAGGATGGACATAAACAACAAAAGATGTGCTAAAGATGTGTGGAAATGAATCATTACTTGTATCAGTATTCTTCAGTTATTTGTTATAACCTCCCTTACATCCTCCTCACTTTTGTGATGACAAGATAAACATTTCTCCTCTTCTAGACTTGTTTGTCACGGTTACATTTATTTAAACTTCTCAATTGTTGTTCTGACTCCTGATATTTATTTTCTTTTTGAAAGAAGATTTTTTCCTTTAACACATATCAGCCTTTATAGAGCAGAATGCTTTCATTTTTCCCCACAATGAAAAGCACAGAAGAAAAACTGACTTCCAGCTAAGCAGGAAATCAGAGATTACAGATTAAAGGTTTCTTTAACAACTTCCAATAAGTATAAAACTTAAAAGATTCGATTTCATTCTAATTGGGGTGCAAATGAAAAGATGCTACTGCAGACTTCCAAATTTTCTGAGGGAATTTTTATATATACATGTATTAATAAGAGTCCCTTTTCAGCTTTAAGCACAAAAAACATATAGGGGCATAAAAAAAAAAAAAAAAAAAAAAAAAAAAAATATATATATATATATATATATATATATATATATATATATATATATATATATATATATATACATATATATATATATATATATATATATATATATATATATATATATATATATATATATATACATATATATATATATATATATATATATATATATATATATATATATATATATATATATAATAAATTTATAATGTAAGTTTTTCTGCCATATATATGAATATATATATCATATTTTTTGAAAAAAGGGGTCATTTTACTTTAATTTGAAATTATTTTGTTGAAATAAAAGGACTTAAAAACCTGTTTTATGTATAAACATTATATATATTTTATATGCATGACATAAAAATGGATAACAGATTTTATTTCCTGAACATTTAATCCTACTGTTGAAAGCTTCCTCGGATTACTCCAGAGAAAAACATAAAAAATGATTACAGAGAAATAATGTCAGCAATGGAAGATATTCCCACTATTACAGAGAGAAATCTAATTCCCAGACTCCAACAGGATCTCAGCTAATGGTATTTGTGGTAAATGTAGAGTAATACGTTTATATGACATTAATGATAGTCTAATGTAGGAACTCAAGCATGATGTCAATAAAAAAATCTGACAAATCAAATATTAACGTTTTTCTCGTATCAGAGCTGGTAGAGTGCATCATAACCTAAACTCTGGTGTTCATGGATTTTAATATAAATCACTCTGTATGTAAAGTCTGTTGTAGTTTCTTAATCAAAGTGTTTTATTCTATGTTATAATAGTGTCCCTGCCTTTTAATTTGATCCTTTCCTTATAAACTTTCAGAAAATGAGCAAAGCTTTCAGATTTTAAAAACTGAAATATAATGCTTGAGACCGTCATTATATCTGTCCTCTAATCTGCTGTTTGATGCTGATTTATTTACCTCTGTCTTTAGATGTCACTTTAAACTAGGGCTGAAACAATTAATCGGAATAATCATAATTATTTGGTTATTGAAATAATTGTCCACTAATTTAGTAAATGTTTAATTCTTTACTTTGAGGAGTAATTATACTAAATGGTAAAAAAATATCTAAACATCTTGCATTTAGGATAAAAAAATCTGTAACCAAAAAACAATCAACAGATTAATCAATGTGCAAGATAGTTGTTAGTTGCAGCCCTACTTGAAACACACATGACCCACCTGCAGCAGCTGCTGCTTGAGCTTCTGCATCTCAGATAGGTTAAGCTCACTGAAAAGGTCCGGGACAAGGCCGTCTCCCTTCCTTGTTTTAGCTAACCCTGTTCCATGGTGAAGGTGGCCGTTGCAACGATTGCTGTCCTCCATGTTGCCATTAGCAGCAGGGATGGCACTGCCGTTAGGAACAGTTGTTCCGCCGGTCTCCTCCGTGAATTTTAGACCCTCAACACCAGTGACAGTAAGAGCGAGATGCGCTCCTGCTCCATAAACGCTGTCACTCAGGCTGATGTGGTGGGCGAGTTCCTTCCGCAGATTGTTCTTCTGCTCGCGTTCAGTCTTGAGGGCATCTAGGGCTTCCTCCAGCTGTCCTTCAGAGATTTCCTTTAGACGCAACGCATCTTCCAGCTGGCTGTTGAGAAGAACAGTCTCCTCCTCCAGCACTTTGATTTCATGTTTCAGCCCCTCATACTCCACCTGTAGGCGGGCAAAAGGGGACACATTTTATTTACTTATCTGCATTGATTATTAATCATTAGCTCCAGTTTACAAATACAAAAATAAAAGTGGATAATTTTTACCACCAATAAACACCAACGATCCTTTTCATGTCCATATCTCAGGATACTTAGACTCTAATTTCATAAATTCTCCAAAGGCATAATTATTTAACATCATAAGGAATTTAAGGAAATTATTTCTACAACATTTATCTAAAATTGAGTCACATGCTTGGATGGATTGATAGAAGTGTGGATGAATGACAAATAAACTAATGGATGAATGGATGATGAATAAACAAACAGATGGATTAATTGATGGATGAGTGAATAGATGGATGGATGGATGGATGGATGGATGGATGGATGGATGGATGGATGGATGGATGATTAATAAAATGATGAATGGATGATAAAACCCCCCCCGAAAGGATGGACTATTGGATGGATCGACGGATGGACGATTTTGAATGAAAGAATTTTATGTTGTATTGGCCCCGGATTGCATAAACCACTTGGCTTCAGTATAAATCATGCAATTCACTAAAGGTGATTAAATTTGTAACAAAGTTTGTTTTATCTCAATCAGAAACTGCCCCTTGGAACATCATAAAGGCCCATTTAGAAGTGTGACTCATTTATACGCTTAAGTGAAACAAAGGGCGGCATTTCTTTTTGAAACTGATGACAAATCATTTAGGGATTGAATTTCCTTGTGACGGGTAAAGTGAGATCGCACACATGTCATGAGTGGGTGAAAAGTAACACCATAATGACGTGCAAACTCTAACCCAATAAGAGAATAAAGTGTTGATGATCATCTTTGTAACCTGGCTCTGCTTGAGTGTGGAAACCAGTTTCTGCAGGGTTATGTTCTCCTCCTCCAGCTCGGTGTAGTCCTGAAGCAGCCTGGTCTCTCTGAACTTGTACTCCTTGATCTCTTCCCTCATCCTGCTCCGCTGTAGTTCCAGCATCTCATTACTCTGAAGAAAGGATGGAACCGGTGCACCAGGGGGTGGAACAGGAAACACAAGGAGACACAAAGGACACAATTTAATATCCAATAGTCCTACCACCTAACCATTGGTTATTGAAGAAATACTGACAAATGGGTCTGCCCTGAAAACAACTTTTACCATCCTGAAATATTTACAGACCAGCTGGTTTTGGTGCAGGGTTCATGTTGATGTTTGAGTATCAAAAATATTCTGATTTTAATAGTTGGTGATTTGATCAACTGTATTGGCTTCTATTAACTGTAAGTACACATTAAAAGCATAAATAAAAAGCTTAATTTTTGCTAAAATATCTAGACATGTATACTGAAATGTAGGTTTTCAGAAGAGAGTTCATAGAAAGTAACAAAACAAAATCATGAAGAATTTCCTGAATATGTGAGCAGATGTACCCTGTTTTTGCTGCAGAGCTCCCTGCAGCTCCCCTGCAGCCCACTGTTCATACTGTTTGGCAGAAATGCTGACCCAAAGACCATTTGAGGAGAAGTGAAGACATTTATAGTGCTGAGACATGCTGAAAAAACCCTGATAATGTTTTTATTTGTGTGTGTTTCTCGTAAAAGTGAAGAAAAGTTAAGGTTAACATCAGCATAATAATCTCCAAAGGAGCAGAGGAGCTATTCCTGGGCAAGCTAAGATAAGAGAAATAGTGCCTCTACTGTGTCCTGGGCTGTCCCCTGGGCCTCCTCATGGTGGGACATACCTGTATCACCACTAGAGAAGGACATCCAAAGTGCATACCACCTCATCTCACTTTGAGCCTCCCCAGATGACCAAACTCCTCACTTTATCTCTACGGGGGACAAGCCACACTGAACCCCGGCCTCAGATTTGTAGTGGATTCTGATCCCAGCCGCTTTACACTTGGCTGTGAACCTCCACAGTACTTTCTGTGGATATTGGCAAGAGAAACACATCTTCAGCAGAAACGTATCTTCAGCAAAGAGCAGGGACAATATCCACTGGCCCCCCAACCAGACCCCTTCAGGCCCTTGTCTGCACTTAGATATTGTGTCCATAAAGAATATAAACAGGACTGTTGACAGAGGGCAGCCCTGCTGGAGTCCAAAATGCACTGGGAACAAGTCCAATCTAATGCTGACATTACAGGCCGAACCCCTTGCTTGTACAGGAACCAGAATGCCCTTAGTAAAGGGCCCCATAAAACATGGTTGGATGCCTTCTCCAGGGCCAAAAAACACATGGACCAGTTGGGCCACCTGCAAGGAACCCTCGAGCACCCTGCAGACGGTGTAGAGCTGGTCCAGAGTTTGACGGCCTGGAAAAAACCCCACTGCTCGTCTTGAAGATTAGTTTCGACAATCAGCCAGACTCTCTTCTCCAGCACCCTGGCATACAGTAGGCCTTCCCAGGGGGGCTGAGAAGTTGGATCCGACTATAGTTGGAACACATCCCCTGGTACTCCTTCTTAAGTAGGGGAATGAGTCTAATAGTCCAGGGACACTGTTCCTGTTTGCAACTCAGTGTTGAAGAAGCAAATCAACCATGAAACCCCCAGACCAGTCAGAGACCAAAGCTACTCGGGGCAGTTCTCATCCATCCCTGATGCCTTGGCACTTTTTTTCCCCACCCCAGGAAGTTCAGGCTGGTTGATAAATAAGTCTGGCACCACGTTATAGCAATAATAATGTGTATGTTTCTATAGATCACAAACATAGACTTTATTATTCCTGTGTATGGACTCTCATCCCCAATGGCTGGTGCCCTGCAGCTTTAAGATATGTCTCTGCACATTTGAAACACCTGTTTCAAATGTCAGCTTAATAACAGAGCTCGGTACCTATTTAGCTTTTAGATTAAGGTGTAAAGGAAAAGAGGATACATCTTAAAGGTGCAGGATACCAGCCATCCAAGACTAGAGTTTATGATCACTGCTTTAGACCAGAGGTTTTAACCCTGGTCTTTAAGGCCCACTGTTCTGCATGTTTTAGATGTGTCTCTGCTTCACCACACCTGAATCAAATGATTGGGTTTTAAGGTATTTAAGTCAGATCTGTCAAGACAGGAGAACACCTAAAACATGTTGGACAGTGGGCCCTGAGGATCAAGGTTGAGGACCTCTGCTCTAGACCACCCAGGGTCTTGGGTGGCCTTCTTTTTTTCCTTCTCTCTAAATCTTCCTACAGTATTTTTAGAAGACATCTACAGTAGGAACTTGGATGACATGGAAGAAATGTATATCACCTTAATTGTATGCTTTCTGTGTTGTTTAAGCTAAAAGCCATTTTTTGTTTATTGTCAGATTCCATCAGATTTGTACCCCCTTCTTTAAAGGGCTGACCGGGCAATTTGGATGGGAAACAGGGCCCAAACATTGCAGCTTCTTAGACTTAGAATTAGACAACTTTATTGTAATTTTGTATAAACAGAGTGTATACAAAAATAAATATTGTTTAGTACAGCTTTTCAGCCGGTAAATGGACATTTCCATTCCATAAAGTGCAGCAGTGAACAAATGTAAACCATGTGGGAGAGAAAAACATGGTGCAAAAAACACATTGATATGGAAGTTCAGAGCATTTATATATGGTGCAAATCTGTATTACTTTTGGGTTGGTGTTATCAGTGTGATGCAGAATGTGATAATGTGATAGGTGGTGACCCTGGGGACACAGTCGTGGCTCAGGACAGAGCCTTGAGGGGAGCCTGTGCTAAGGGAGATGACATCAGAGGTGTTCTGTCCGAAGCGGACTTACTGAGGTCTGTTTGTGAGGAAGTCTAGCAGCTACATTCTAGCATATTACCACCTCTGTACTTAACAGTAGAAATGAGTTTCTAACACTTTTTTCTAATTGTAGTAATGTTTCTTGTGGGACTCTATAGTTTTGCTTTCATCAGACCACAGGACATGTACTATAATATAGTGTGAAATATTTTTTCCTCAGTGAGTAACCTTGACTCTTTCTAAAGTGTATTTCCCTTCGAAATCGGGCTTTTTTAATTCTATGAATTTTGCTCTGCATAATAATAAACCTAATCCAATCTGTGTGATAATAAAACATGCCATCTGAACTAGTCAATAATTTCAAACAAGCTATTTTATGTGGCAGACTTTCATTTCAACAACTGTTGTGTTTTTATCTCTCTGCAATAGAGTACAGCCCAGAGTATTTTCATCAGAACGAGTAGTGATCCATTTTGTGAATGACTGTGTGGTGGGTGATGGGAGCAGCCCAGTTAGCTCTGTTACCGCACATGTGCCGAGCTCAGGGCATTTCACTTATTCCCCAGCTTAGCACCGGATTTGCCCCCCACAATGGGGTCGTGGCCGTAGTGTCTGACCTCATGCTGAACTCCTCAGCTTCCCGGAACCATGCCTGCAGCCATACATGCTTGTAGTCAGAGGTACATGCAAGCATAATCCTTCTTTTTTGCTGTTAGGGAAATTTAAAGTCTTTGTGAAAGGGACCCCTTGACATTTCCCAAACCTTTAACCCAGTTAGTTAATCAAATTACTGGTGGTAGAAAGTTTGTTTATGCTGTGGTACAAATAGAAAATATTTAAAAGGAAAATGTTTTTAACATTCAGCTACAATCAAAACATTAGGCAAAGAAAATAATAATTTGCTAGGAATAAAAAAAAAAAAAAACTTTTAATACTTTAAACAACCTTCCTTAAATTTCTAAATATTCCTGAAATGTGTTGATTGAAGACACCTCTGTCATTTATTTAACAATATAAGCATTATAGCTGGATGGAGCTCAGCCCCCAGACTGTAATGGCTTAAAGTACATAAACCTCATGCAATATATATTACAGGTATGCCTTATTTGAGGTGTACTTAGCTGATAGCAAACCTTTCCATTTTGCCTTCATCTTTGTCTAATAAATTATTACTAGCTGGAATCTGCGGTACTAGGTGAGGTTATATTTAAATACTTTTAACAGTTTCTAATTCATAGTGCCGTGTAATTTTGTACTAAGAAAAAACTATAGATCCAGATTAATAAAGGTCTTTATCCTTTTTAATTTTCTAAATACAATGATAGTTATGAACTCATATCAAAGGGTGCAAATAAATCACTAAGGTCCGTAAATGAACTGGTATCTAGAGACCAAAAGAAAAAAAACATATTACTTTAATGCTTTATTATATTACAGAAATAATAAGACTTTAAATACCTAATGTTGAAAAACAATAAAAAACTCAAGTTTGAGTACATACTGTAAGAGAATATTTTATGCAGTTTACACAAAGTTAAACTTAATTTACGTTACATTTAATTTGCAAATATCTTCCTTGATGTTTATCTATTATTATAATTTTCCAATAAAGGGGTTGTCTCATGTCTTATGCTAAATGCCTATAAAGGATGTTTATTTGGATGCTTCAGGTGATTTTATAGAAGAAAAGCATAAAACAGATTTTCGGCTCCTCTGGGGTCAGGTGTGCTATTTATCTAAGATGTGCTCCAGTTCCAAAACACCTGAACAAAAAAAAATCAGATTTATTAAGAATTTTTCAAAGCTGTGTAGTAAATTGAATTGTTAGTTTACATTTTATAATTTGAGCAGATATTCACAAAATACTGTAACTTAGAAAATGTACCAAACATACCAGCAGACCTAAGGCAGAAAATGAAATAAACTAACAATATATTACATTTAGATAAAAAACTACAGCCCTGGTTTTGATTTTAGATATCATGTAAACTCACCTCTCGCAGCTCCTGCACCAGCGCGTTGAGCCTCTCGTTCTCCGCTTGGGTATTAGATGCCACCGAGCGGCTGAGTGTTACCTCCGTCTGCATCTCCAGCAGTCGGCCCATGTAGTAGGCTTCCTTGGAGGCTGACTCCTGCAGCAGCGTCTCCTCAATGGTCTCTCCATCCTCTGCAACCTTGCGCTGATTGCTGTAGGCCTGGCCAAACGCCTGGAGAGGAGGAGAAGAGAGAGAGAGACATTCAGATAGGGACACCCATCCTGTCCCGTCTCACACAATGAACCACAGAATGGATTTGCAGCTGGTTGCCAGATGGTCTCCAGGTCAAACTGCCGCTCTCTTGTGAAGGAGCCGTTGCTCATGAGCAACCTGGTGCGCCATCGCTGAGGGTTGATGTTTCACTGATCAATAGACACAGTGTTCCCATTTTCCTGACACAGGTTTTCACATCACTGGAAGCTGACTTGTCACGATGAAGGCGCCAAGGCTTGATTGAGGAAATCAAAGCAGATGTCAACAGAATAAACAGGACCAATCAAAGTAACGCCTCTTTGATGAGGTAGAGCTGTAAAAAGAACAACAACAGCTGCAAACCTGTTCCATTTTCCCAAAAAGGTTAATGGGTGTAGACAGAATTTCATAAAAAGAAAATGGTTTTCTCCTTGATTTCCATGAGGCAGCATTATTAGTCGGTCAATATATATTCTGAGGCCTCCTTCACTTTCTCAGCTCATCAGCAGATTATGGATCTTTGTTCTCTCTGATATGCAATCGATCAATGCAGCTCTGACTGGATTTTTTGTGCTTAAATAACCACACAATACTATGAACAATTCATAGTCAGAAACACTAAAGGCTTTAGGACGTGGTTTCTGATTTATCAGACGGCCTGCAGGATAAACAGAGCCATATCACTGGGACAAAATGTATGAAGAGATTAAAAATAAATCCCTCTTCCTGATAAACATCCTCTTCTCTCTACATTATGAATCATTTATGAGATACAAGTATCCATTATTTTCCATGAGACATGAGTCCTGTGTCCATCTTTTTTTTTTTCCTTCCACATCATTTTTCTGTTTCATTTTTTTAGGAAGATCTTAGTCGCTATGAAAACAAAGGATTTATTTACTCTGCTGCAGTGATGCTAAAAAAAGGCCTGTATGTTTGTGCATTCCATGAGCAGATCTACCCTTATAAACCTTTATAGTAAATTCTTGTTGACCTTTTGTTTTTAGTTTTTCTGCTGTTAGAATATGGATCTTCATTGGACCCATACGATCTGATTGGAAAATAAACTCAATCCAACTGGCAGAATGTTTGCCCTCTATGTCTGTTGTCTTTGGATGGACTGGAGACCTCTGAGGATAAAAAAACCAGGAAGAAGCTGAAATCAAAAATGTGTGGAGGCTCTTGGCGTGCTGGTTCTTGACATTTTTTAGCCAACTTCATGATGTTAGATCATTTCTATTTGGTAATTTCTTTGCCGACAGGCCTGAGTGTGACCATAGGAGTTCAATTTAGCTTAAAACATTTTTTTTTTTAGAATTTACTCACATTATCTATGGCTAATATTAGAAAAAATGTCTTTAGATACTTTCTTAAAGCTTAAAACCAAAAGGCTAAGTTGAAAAAAATCCTGCTGGAATAGAATTTGGATTGTGACCTATCATTGAGTTTGCTGCACAGTACTAATGTTAAACTATTCAATATCTCAGGGCATAGATCTTAGTGAAGTATTGGACTGAGACCCTGCATCAGTAAATTCCTAAAACAGTTCAATCAGAGCATGTGGTTTAAAAACAGAAACTCATTATGTGCAGGCAAATTGGGGAAGAATAGAGGCCTTTACACTAATGTCCCTAGAGAGCCTCTAAATTCAACAGGAGGTTTTGTTTTGCCTTTAAAATAATGGTTACAGTCAGAGCTGGCATATGAATTGAGTGAGCAATAACCAGTGTACTGAAAAGCATGCAAACACAGAACATTTCAACCTTCAAGCACAAACAACCTGCCCAAGGCTTTAAAATAATTAAAAATAGTAATGCACAAAAATGACCCATAGCTAATTTATTTTCATCACTAGGAGTACTTTTACTCTATTCCAGTTTTTTCTCTATTATTTCTCCTTTCAGATTCCCACCGAGTCTCCCTGCTGTCCTCTCTTGCTCTCCTGAGAGCAGCATGGGGGTTGTAGTGAATGACTTGATTATAAAGGACGAGCGTGTGGACCTACACACACACACAAAATCCACAGCTGATTAATTCCAGGCATAGAGTGACAGAACAAGCTGGTTTCTCACTTCAGATGAGTTGCCAATGACATGTGCACAAGCCTTGCAGCAAAGCAGCTGAGGCCGGAATGTGAGAAAAGAAAAATCTGGAGCGTTTTGGGGGTTTCTCTGTCCTGAATGGGTTGTTCCTGGTAGGTTGCCAAATAAACAATGAAGTCTTCGCATGGTCGCTGCCCCAACACAGTAAGTAGTGTCACAATAATAAAGCAGCACTGAAGCAAAAATAAGGAATGTAATGTGCTTTAACTTATCCAGACAAGCTTTTTTCTTTTTTACTGTTTTATTTAAAAGGAGAAAAACACATCTGTGGTAACATTCATTTTGAATTCAAACTACCTAAATTTTCCTCTTCACTGAAAAGGTTAATAAACAAGAGGGACATGCAGAACCGGCGCCTAACAGCCACATAGAGAGACACAGTGTCCCAGTTCCAGACAGTGAATCAGGCGCCACTCATCCAGAGAAGCACAGGAAGCATACCGAGGAACAGCAGATGTTTTTATAACTGACCTCTTTCATGACATGCACTTCTTCTCCACTTAAAGAAATCACAGTGGACATGCCACAGCCTTTAGAAGCTCCGGATGCTCACCAATGAGTTTCCAGCACTAAAAGCTGCATCATGTAGTTTTTTATGTGACTCTAATGATATGATTGGAACTGATTGTGCATGACTATAACGGTAAAGGTATTAGTCCCTTTGTTAATGTAGTTCTTTGCAGTCAAACAACAGTGGAGAGTACAGTTCCACCAAGAATTTATTAACTAAAATTGGACGACTTTTGGCTGAAAGTCCCTTAAACTTTTACCAACTGATGACAAACTGCAAAATTTAACATATTTAGACCAATTAATGTGCAACAATAAGAGTTACGGAGATTCAAAACACTTAAAAAGCTAAGAAGACTCACATTTTCTATTTTTAGTGTAAATGAGGAGTAAACAATGAGATCAAAGCTCTGAGCTCTATAACCTTTTATAAAGGATATTTTACTTTCTTCAATATTTTGAACCAAGTTTGCACTTCATTCAGGTACTAAGAGAGTGAAAGAGAGCAAGACTTCCAGCAGATAACAGGAAGCCTGGCTGGAGAATAACAGAGTTGGTCTGTATAATGGTTTTAGGTTTTTAACTTCTGGAAATGTTGGCTTTCAGAGCTGAAGGGACTACACATAGATGTAATGATTCTCATTGTTTTTTCTACTCTGTTTTGTCACAGTTGTTTTTTTATACTAATCTAAGCCAGTTCACACTCTGCTTTTATGTCTACTTAGCTGGAGTTTTGTTAGCAGTCTTTTACCTGTTTTCACCTAATCCATCACCTCTTTATATGCAGTTGTGATTCATCAATTCTTTGTCAGTTTCAACTGTTCTCTCTTTAATGTCGCATTGTGCAATCTTAAGATCATATTCCTTACAGGTGTACACATTCCTGGCAAATAAGGTTGACTCTGATGTTATGCTCTCGATTTTTCTAAGTTTACTTCCCTTAATAAACATCTATCCAACAACATTTTGCCATTTACGTATCTGTGTTTCGTTCTCCAAAACAAAACATGACCAATGACTTGCTATTCACTAATGTAAGATGCTAAAAAGCCCCTAAACACTGTCTCAGACAAATCACCTCAGCTCATATAGATAACTGCGTAACTTTGAAGGCAGAAGGACTAGAAAAAAGGAGTTCAAAGCTGTTGTTATGGCCTATTTTTAGTCTAAGGGAAATCAGCATTGACAATTAATAAATCCCCCCCCCGCGCCCCCCCCCCCCACCCCCCCCCAAAAGAACTTTAATCAAGGAATCTTTACTAGAAAGTCGTTTTACTAAGGTGATATTATCATGGAGTCTTTCATAGGAGTTCAGTTCAGTTCTCTGAACAAAAAACATTTAATGTCTTCATTCTTGGGGCTTCTTTTACCTTTTCTGCTTTAGTTTCCAGACAATAGAATCTTGCGCTAAAGATATGCATCCCTGGGGCCACACCAGGAGGAGCAAAAACAGCACTGCTGTTTGTGAGAGAAGGAAGAGGAGGAGGGGAAGGAGGAGAGAACAACCCTGAAATCCCTCCTGTTGTGTTGCATCCCATAATTGGGAGTCAGGGGATGGCTTTAGGGTGTGAAATAATGTACTTTCTATGATAATGCCTCAAACAGAAATTGTTTTGCACATACAGCATTATGAGATGGCCAAATCTGATATAAAAAAAGGATCAAAATGTTTACCTATCAGAAATATTTCAGATGAATGGATTCATAGCAGGTTTGATTAGATTTTTAAGGTCAGAGGACTTAGTGAAAATGCAAGGGGCTACAGTGTAAATGAGAATATCAAACCAGCATTTAGCATAAAGGACATTTAAATGTGGTAAATTCCCTGAGCTCCAAAAGAAATATCTTCATCATCATCATGGGTCCAGCAGAGATGAAGGAACCAAGAGACTGTCTATGGAATTACTCACTCTTACTGTCAACTACTGTAGCTATTGACTTTGCAGAATTCGCTCCTCCTAGGTGAGCATGTCATGAGAGTAGATACTTCCTTGCATTGTGTCATTGACTCTACAGAAATCCCTTACAACAAGCATGCATTTAGTAAGAGCAAAGAGGAAAAAACTCCCTTTTGATAGGAAGAAACCTCCAGCAGAAGCAGGCACAGTGTAAGATGCCGTCTGCCGAGGCCCATTGGGGTATTATGAGACTTACTGTAAACCTGCATATTGAGAGAACAGTGCTCTGTTAGGAACATAAGGAACAATCAGATCTCTGATATAACATAAGGCTTGATTGTTTAGGGCTTTATAATTGAGTAGGATTTATTAGGTAGCCAATGAAGAGAATCAAGGATAGGAGAAATATGATCTCTCTTTTTTAATGATCTCTTTTTTTCATCAGAACTCTAGTAGGAGGATTATGGAT